GACTGGAATTTTAGAGGAAAGAGACAAAGAAGGAAAGGAAACAAGAGGAGGGAAGGGAAAATAAGAGAAATAGAGAAAGAGAGTAAGGAGGAGAGTGACCAAAAAATAAAAGAAAATGAAGGTGGCATCCTGCAGACAGAAAGATTAAAACAGGTAGAGGTAAGAGAGAGGCAGAGTTTAGTGCATACTATGGTCACAATAAATATATGATGAAAAAAATGATGGTATCTACTTGGAAATCACAACTTGCAGCTCACTTGGGCAGAGGCTTGCAAAACAAACAAGCACACACTCCAACCCATCTTCCAAATGATTATTTTAATTAGGCAAGGGTTACAGTTCTTTGAATGCCTTTATCCTTAAACCTCTAAGGAAAAAATTAGTCTCTGGGCTAGAATGGCTACAGGCCAGATGGAATTAAGTAAAGAACCATGACTGAAAGACTGTAGCTTTTCCTTCCTATTATTAACCATCTATAACTATATATACTAGACCAAAAGAACTGATACTGATTAAGCATTATGTGATCTGAGTCACAAAATTTAAAATGCATTTACCATGAGATACTAAGGAATGGAAATGGACTAATCCTTTTAAGAATGATTTTTTCAATAAGAGTTGAAATCAAGGAAATCCTTTGCTTAGCTTGAAAATAAGGAAATTAAAAATTTTCTTTCCCAAGCATCTTGAGGATTTTCTGTAGCTTCCCTTCATTCAAAGGTTTCTAGCCATAAAGGGAAAAAATAGGTGAGAGTACCCTCAATAACTTTAAATTTGAACCCCTCAGTCTTAAATTGGCCTTCCTCTCCTAATCTGCTATAGTACTCCATTCCTCCCTAAACAACCTTTAACACACTTGTTAATTATTCAATGTCTGTCTTCTTATGAGATTTTGGCCTTGTTAAAGCAGTACAGCATAATCCCTGCAGAGTGGCTCTGCCACTTATTAGCTGTGTGATCTTGGGAAGATACCTTAAGTCTCTATGTTTTAAAATAGGACTAAATAAGAGTACCTCTTCAGGTAAAACTGCGATATCACAGATGACATAATACTGTATATTAGGGAACCCTACAGATTCCACCAAAAAACTACTAGAACTGATAAATGAATTCAGTAAAGTAGCAGGATATAAAATAAACATTCAGAAGTCAGTTTTTATACACCAATAATGAACTATCAGAAAGAGAAACTATGCCCGGCCAGGCGCGCCTCAGCTGTTGAGCATCCACCCAGGATCCAGGAGATCGTGGTTCGATTCCCAGTCAGGGCACATGCCCGGGTTGTGGGCTCAATCCCCAGTGACGGGTGTGCAGGAGGCAGCAGATCAATGACAACTGTCTCATCATTGATGTTTCTATCTCTTTCTCTTTCCCTCTCCCTGAAATCAATAAAGATATATTTAAAAAAAAAAAAAAAAAAGAGAAAGAGAAACTAAGAAAACAATTCCATGTAAAATTGCATGTACCTCGGTTCCAGGCTCAATCCCTGGCCCCGGCCAGAGCTCAAGTGAGAGGTAACCAATTGATGCGTCTCTCTCACATCAACATTTCTATCTCTCTCTTTCCCCCTTCCACTCTCTCTGAAAAAACAATGGAAAAATATCCTCAATATATAGATGAGGAATTTACTCTGGAGGTTGAGAGACCTGCGCAAGGTGACCCAGGTAGTAAGTGATGGTATTGAGATCTCAATTCAGATCTTTGAATTCTAAATTCCACTCTCATTTCTCCATACTACATCAGCTTAACACAGGTGCACATTCACAATTGAATAAGGTTGGTACAGTTTTCATTGATACTTTAGAACAGACATTTTATGGTTTGTATCTTTAAGACTAATCTACTGAAATGTCAGGCCAAATTGCTTATGGCTCAAGTTTTTTACCAGCCCCAGAGGACAAAGATGTAAAAAGAATGGAGAAATAAGTGTGCGTCAGAGAATTGACACTTCCTTCTTTCTCCTGACTGTAACATCTAATTTCTCTCTTTCCACATTTTAATTAAAAGGAGATTACTTATTAGGTACAATATATTTTCTTGACACTATCCAGACAAATAGTTTACCTGTAATAAGAACATATAATAAGGAACATGATGTTCACACCCTAAAATCAACAGTTTGGGTTATAATAAACTTAAAAAACTATAGACAGGAAAAATTTCCCACCAATATAAACCAGACATTTAACAATGTGATTTATTCCATGAAGGATCTTAATCTCCCTCCTGTTTCTTTTTTCTCTCAACAAACATTTTTGCAAACCTACTATGTACTTGATATATAACTTATTAGAGCAAAGGACACAATCTCTGTTTTCAAAAGCTCTTCTGGTCTAATAAAGTGATTATAATTGATAATTATAATACTGTGTATGATAGAGGTATGCCTAGAATGTCAGAAAGACAGACAGATGCTCACTTTTCTGTGGTTACGATAGTTTTCAGGAATATGTTTTCCCACACCTACTTAAAATATAGATTTTGAATCTAATCTCTATCATTTTATTAACATTAAAAATTATTTTTCTTCAAAGCTAACCAAGTAATCATTAACTGTCTTTTACAGTGTAAAATTTAAACCATCAGGTGGTACCAAGAACCTATTTGATCATTTAAAAAACCAGATAAATGTCAGCTTTTGTAGACTTGGTCCTCCGTTTGAGTTAATTTATGACCATTGATGGTTTAACTAGATTAATTATTGAAGAAGTTACAAAGTTCTCCCCAATCTGATGACTGTAACAACTGAAATAAACCAATTGGTCCCCGGCATCCGCTTACTTTCAGACATTCTCCCAAAGGAATTTGTTCTGTTGACATGACTCTTAATTATAACATATTTCTTTACAATCCACTTGCATTATTTCATTACAAAATGAATGCACTGGCTTTAAGAAAAACTCGTCTTGCCCTATGTTTGGTCATATTTATGTTCCTAAGATTAATTACCAGCAAAACATAAAAGGGACAGAATTCAGGCTTTTATATTCCACTACTTCCCTCAGAAGCAGCTCTCTAGAGCTGTCTTATTCAAGAGGTCGGGGTACTGGAAAAAGGACCTGCCCACTTTCTTATCCAGGAAAACAGCAGATGCGACATTTAAAAAAATTTTTTATGTTCAGTCAAATCCAAACTTAAAACATGGCTCCACAGTAAGTAATTTAACCTGAGTATCAGTTTCTCCAAGTATATCCTCTCTGTTACACTCCTGACTTGGGAAGGTAACTCTGCAAGGTGCTCACTGGAGAAGAGTGAGCGATAAAGATTTCTACAATTCTTCCCATGCTCCTGGGAAGAAATTAAAGACCAGGATCACTGGGAGTGGGAAATGGGGCTTATGTGGGATGGGTGGACAAGGCAGGCTTTACGGACGATCAGAAGAGATGAGCTCAATGTGGTGTTCTTTGTCGGGGTGCTGGAAAAGCGCACCCAGCCCCCTAAATTTCTTTCACTGTGTCATCCTGCCTGCAATTCCATCCATACAAATAATTCCTTCGGGTCGCTAGGAGCCCCGGGGAGGGAACCAGTACCCCTGGGAGGTTGATCGCCTCTCTTCATGACCCCCCTAAGCAGCTAGCCGATAATGGTTCAAGGTGACAGCTTTCTCAAGGGTACTAGTTCCTTCACAGGGGGGCAAGATCGAGCCCCGCACGGGTTCTGCCTTCAAGGCCGCGAAGGCCCCGGTAGGGCGGGGGGCGGAGGGGGAGGGGCGAACTTAGAATTTTTTTGTGAGGGACAAAAGCCCCTAGAGCGGGTCCCTAGGACAAAGTGGAGCCGCAAGGATGGGGCGTGAAGTGAAGCGGCGAAGAATGCGGGGAAAATGCCAAAGAGAGACTTCCTCCTTTTCTCCTGCAAACATGGCCCCACTACGCGTCGGGAGCAGGGGGCGAACCTCGCGGGTCGGTCTTGCTTCTAACGTGAAACCCGCCGGGCGTGGCGGCGGAGGGGCAGGAGCTCCTCCCAGCTCCGGAGGAGGGGGCTCACGCCGGGGGCGGGGGCGAAGGCCGGGCGGAGGAGAGGCCTCAGAG